AAGTATGTTAGTAAAATTATATATAGTTGATTCGGTTTATCGTTGAATGAAAACATGCTCACAAGGTGTAAAATATCGACATAGGATAATAAAGTGTTACAAGTCATATGATATGTATGTTATATATGTGCATGAGAAAGCCGATCTTGCAGTGATAATTATTCATGTGGTATTGTAGTTGAGGATGGTGTTAAATATATCGGTATGTGAAAACCCCTGTGTAAATAAGTGTGTGCAATAGTTTAACCTAGAGATTGCTTTAGTTTGATTTGTTTTTGAAATAAAAAAATGTTCTTCCCCGAGTGGGGAAGGGGCTGTACTCGGATGTAGTGCAATACCAAGACAACCTGTGGCCAGGGCGAAGCAAGCTTCAATCCCATGGCCGAAGTCCAAAAATCAGTTTAATATACGAGTTAGGCATTGCCTAACATATCAGAAATTAAGCTGGTCAGAACAGAAATTGTTTATTACCAATAAAGAACCTATTTACATTAGTACTCATCTAGAATGTGGCAGTTGGAATACATAATCATACAAAGTTCAAAAATCGAGTACTTTAACCTAATATCCTAATAACTGGGGGGTCTGAGTTTAGCTATATATATATGATAAAGTTCATTATAAATGTTATTTGATTGTTCATTCATTGAGGGACACCTGAGAGGTGTTCAAAATATATGTTACTAGATACTCTGATCATGTCAGTACAACATAATTTACGAAATAATGTTCTGTAAAATTTTGAGATCAAAAGTTCGTCAAGGACTTTTTTGTTGCCATCATACCATGCACGTAACGCACCAACTACAAATCCAAACACCTTGGCAACTTTATTCTCATTAGCAAAATGTTCAATTAAGTAATTGTACTGGTCTACTTTCCTCTGCGCGGCGTTACTAAGGGAGTTGTCTTCGCTCCCGAATGGGCACATAATATCAATTATAAGTACTTTATTACCGTCGCGCGAACAACAATATCGGGACGATTCAGGTTAGGATTAACATCATTTGTTGGTAGGGTATTGGTTGCAGAACCTCATTCCAGAGCCATCGAAAGACCAATTATTTGCACTGTAGAAATGGCACGTTTGGATACACCTAGCAACTTTACCCTGATCAGGAAGAGATTTAAGGATATTGGAGTGGGCTTTCCTTCAGTGGTGATGAAGGTAGGCAGCAACATTACGTGGGTTGGACATTGAAGCATCGTCTGCAGAGATGGAAATTTCACTCAAGGCCCCTTGAATGTTAATGTTTAGTTTCCCAGCAGATATTCTGCATCTGGACCATAGGGTTAAACTGTTATTGGATTTACTATGGTTTTTTAATGGACCTTCATGGGAACCGGATAGGAAGTCATCAATCATTGTTGTATGGCTCCACATTGATGCAACAGTAAACAACAGATCTGAGTTGGGCTCTGGAGATGTTATGGATAAGTGGGTCTTTAGCAGAGAGAATCTTAACAGTATGGACAATAGTTTGGACATGGCGTTTGTCAAACCGATCTAGAAAACCTAGACCACCGTCAGATTTGTCAGCGAAGAAGTAAGAAGCTGAGGCATGTTTCGGAAGGTGATATATTGATTTCAGAACTTCAATTAGCTTTGATCTATACTCTTTGAGTGCTTCATGGGTGACTGGGCAGGATATTAAGGCGTACGTCAAACCGGGCTGAACGAAGGTTCTTATCGCATCTAATCTCTGCCATGGAGCCAGTAGCGAGTCTCTAATTTTGTCGAGGTCAGATATGAGTTTGGCAGTAATGGATTGTATATCTTTGGCATCGTACAGCAAACCAATGGGGACACCCAAATACCGATATGATTCTTCTCTCTTGAGAAATGGAATTGGATTGTGTTGGACAATGAACTCATATTCTGACACCCTCGAAAGATCTTTCTTGAAACATGTAAGAGATAACGTGGAACATTTGTCTTGCCTGAAGGACAGATTGAGAACGTCGGCTGCTAGAGAGATGTCATCAAGTAATACCTGCAAACCTTCTCTCGTTCTGCTTATTAACACAAGATCATCCGCATAAGCCAAGATAGAAATAGGCTGGTTGTGTAACTTGAAAGGGATGGAAGGGTTATCTTGAGAACGAGACAGAGCTGTACGGATTAATAGCTCAGAAGTAAGGTTGAACAGGACAGGGCTAATTGGGCAACCTTGTTTAACGCCAGCAGTGACTTTGATTGGCTCAGTTTCTCAACACGAGAGGTGCGGACTACGGTGGAAACGTCTGTGTAAATATCTTTGATTAATTCGATCAGTGATTCCGAGAAGCCCATGTGTTTAGGGTAAGATAAATGGCCTCATGGTTGATACTACCAAAAGCATTTCTCAGGTCTAGCCAAATGAAGAAACAGTTCTTTTGATTTTGTTTACAATCGGCTACTATCGATTGCAAGGTAAATGTATGCCCATGGCACCCTTCAGCCGGTCTTGCACTTTTCTGTTGGGGAGACATCAGATTGTTCTGGATTGAAAAGTTTGTGACACGTAGAGCTAATAGTGATGTGAATAACTTACATAAACACGACGTGAAGGCAATCGGTCTAAAGTTACTGGGATCATCGCTACTGCCTTTTTTGTAGATCATGATGGTTGCAGACTCTTTCCAGGACGATGGAATTTTTTTCTCGGCAAGGCATTTGTTGTAGATGATACTTAGTATTTTGCAGTCGGGGTCTACTAATTTTAAATGGCGATACTCAACTCGATCCTTCCCTGTGGCAGAATTAGCTAATGACTTTAGCTTGTTCTTAATGTCTTTGCTATTAAGTGGGCCCATTATATTAGGATCTTCATCAGCACACGGAACATTACTATTGAGGGATTTAAGAACTTCATCAACATTAATTGGTGATGCAGAGAAGGTGTTGGTGAAATACTGCGTAGCTTGATCCTTAGTCCCCGTATAGGAGGTGGTGTTGCCATTCAAAACTTCCTAGCAGCTCTATTCTTAGACAAACAATATAGTGTTTGGAGGCGCCAAGGTTCAATCGGGTTAGGTAGGACGCGAGGGCAATTTGGATTAACAGGACGGTTGTTAGGACGATTGGGTCTGGTCTATATATATATATATATATATATATATATATATATATTATATATTTCTCACACCAAAATGTTCTCAAAAATGTAATTTAAAAAGCATAAGTACAGTAAAGTACAAAGCAACCAAATTAACCAATCACGCCACTTAAAAAAATTCATAAATAATCAGACAATGTCTGCAGCTGTTCGTAAAAAACCTTTCTGTCCAAACTACTGTATTAATTACTGTAATGTCGTACAACTGTTGTACACTCTGCAGTTGCAGAATATCAATCTTGCATTACAGACCGGCGACTTAAGGGGGGCTGATGGGTCACTCATCATTCGACCCATTACCACTTGACGGAGTACTTGAGTTTAACGGTGAACTAGTACTTGACGTTGACAAAGGTGATTGTAGGCTTGAGTTTGCACTAGAAGACTGATTACATGCCCATTCGGGACAATTATCGGGCATTCCTCGAGATGAAGGTGCTCCTACACTCCTTGGCAATGCCTGTTTCTTTATTAGTTCAGGCAAACTATCCAGATGGCCTTTGTCCAACTTTTTTTTAAACCTCTTGAGTTCATTACTTTTCCACGTAAGAGGCCTGACAATATATTGCTTTGTCTTGTACGGTGACTCTCTTTCATGTTCGCTCTCCTCGCTTGACATGTAATCCATGTGCATTGCCTCCATCAACTTAGCCTTTATTTTGGTAGACCAGGGGGGTTTTTCCAGGCACCTTATGCATTTTCCCAATTTCTATAAATAAAAAGACAAAATGTTTTAGAGTTATAAAGTTCTGTGTGACAAGTGTTGAATGTGTATGTTGCCGGTTTGCACCCCCTTTGTTTTTCGTGGCCAATTGCCCACTGGCGATCCTATAATACATTGCATTTGCAAATAATACAATGTATTATGGGATCGCCAGGGGGCAATTGGCCGCGAAAAACAAAGGGGGCCTGTAAACCGGCAACATACACATTGACTAAAACAATTCGCCCTTGATGGTCTTACTAGTCTATCGAAGTACCTGAGCTACTCTACATATATAGATAACGATTTGGAAATATAAATTATAAGCGATGTTACAGCAACTATGCAACTTGTTTCAGAAGTATTCTAATCTATCTTGCAAAACATAGAATCGTGTTAGGCATGTTCAACTTTTGAAGCGATTAGCGCGACCGCCGCAACACAAGAACATATTTAAGCCAGACAGCAAAGGCAAACTGACAATAGAATCCAACTAAGACAAGTTGCACAGTGCAATTACACTCCTGACCACGCAAATTTAATGTGTACATATAGTTAGCCATTGCGGAGCAACACACCCTTTCGATAATTACGTCACACATACTTTGTTGTTGGAGCCTCGTTCTTATTAGTAAGTTACGCAAGGTGATTGGATCACAATTATTATTGAAATGGTGTATTCGCACAGCACCATATTCCATAAAATCACACTTGATCTTAAATCAGTCTGTACTTGTTGGCATTGGACTATCAATTTTAATTCGATTTAAATCTTTCTAAATCTGTATAAATATGTAATTAACACTCCACTACATGTTCAGTTCACTACTTACTTCTCTCTTGGAGTCACTCTCCTTTCTTTTCTCTTGCACCTTACGAGATTTGACATAAGTCTTAAAGGCACCTGTAATGAAAAATATTCAGAGATCAGTCAGATTGCAGTAGACAGCAAGGCCCTATACATATGATAGGGGTCATGATAAAGTCCCAGCATTTACTGTAGCTGTTAAATCCTATATTGTCTGTGACATTTTGAGCAAAACTAGATAAGTATGAAACTAAGGAAAGTACGAGACTACAGTACTTGTATATACATGCACATGATAATTTGAAATAAACCTGATTAAGATTACTTATTATTGGTGAAGATGTCACGAAAAACATAACGTTCAACAACTAAAGCCTGAATGTTATGATAATGTTTACTAGGTTCATTCACAGAGTGTAAATTATAATAACAGGGTTGGGTTCCATTACCTATTTATATGCCCTGATCATACTGTAAGTATACAGTAAGTACAATTTGAAATACAGTAGTACAATTTGAAAAATAGTAGCCCGCGTGCAGGCCCAAGGGAACTGATAGTGGGCCTGCAAGCAAGGCCCGGTATTTTGCTGTTGGATTCTATAATTAGGTCAGTGATTCATCACAAAGGCATAGACAAAGGCTCTCAATAAGCTTAACATTCGAAAATTGATCACTTTTTTCGATTACAAATGCAACAAGAACAGACTGTTTATTGTTTACTTGAAGGAAGAGATGTTTTTGCCATTATGCCAATAGCAACATTTAATACGACTGGGGTAAACTATAGTAACCTTTACTTGAGTTTCATTAATTTCAAACAGACTTGAAACGTTATATGTTCCTCAAGAAAATGATCTTTTGGTTGATGTTGAGATGCAGTTGCATGTAAGCCTATTCAAAATACTTTGCGATTTACAAGGCTTCGCCGAGAGAGCAAAACAGAAGACGGTATTAAATTGCCGTTTGAAACAAAACGACCTGGACTCCGAACACTTTCTTCTTTTGTAGAGTTCTCACCAAATGAAATAACTGAAATAAATTTCGTATTTTCCGCCGCCAACAAGAATTGCACACACGATCTGATAAGTGAGACAATTTATTTATAACAATGGCGATAGCGAAGCACACATTATAAATGCTGATGTGGTCGCACGTCTTCCCTCACAATTTGAAGTTTGAGACTGGTTTTCTGTTGAAATTCGTCTTAATTTGCCAGTTCCGATTTTAGTTGAAAATGAGTACCGGCAAATTTGGCAATTACTGACTGCATTGCTTGCTTCTTTGGAGTTAAAACGCAGCCATTTAGACATTGTTTATGTTCTGAATAAGCAGAGAAAAGCCGGCAACATTTTAATGCGAGTTTGTTTGTTAATATTTGGGTGCTATCATTGGTTCTTTTTTGACAATTGACGCGCGAATGGGGCGTGTTATGAAAAGAGGCGTTTTACAAAATACCGGGCCTTGCTTGCAGGCCCACTATCAGTTCCCTTGGGCCTGCACACAGGCTAGAAAAATAGTTTACGAAACAAGACATTTAAAATACTTCAAAAACACAAACAGTCAATCATGCACTTATGTATATGTTACATTACTTATGTATATGTAACTGTCACACATTGTGGTTCCATTTACATGTTGTCTGGAGGCATAATTGAAATACCTGTGAGTATCTAATCACATGCATACCTTTCAACTGCAACAATGTTGATGGGCATTTGTCATCACCCCCATATTCTAGTTGGAGTTCAGTCACCACAGTGTGAAACACTTTTATGTTATGTTCCGATTCTATGCTGTGAGAATGGAGTAATTAGAATTTAGTTATTATTATAGGCATTTTTATAGGATATTTTCTATACTGTAAACCTCCAAATATAAGCCCAAGGCTTATATTTGCTCATAAGCATTTTTGATGGCTTATACAGGGGCCTTATATACAGGGATCAGACTTTTACTGTACATGTACAATCAAGAGATACTGTAATCGAGTATTTATTGTCAGTTATAAACAGGAAAATAGTGAGCAATTTGATTACTATAGTAAACACAATGGGCGCTTTTTTTTTTGGGGGAGGTTATACAGTATTTCAAACACTCATTAATAATTCCTAAGCTTATTGACGAATCATGTCAACCATAATATGTCACATGCAGTGGCTTTAAACCTGATAAAACACTCCTAATTGGTATTCTTTATATAAAGAATACTAATAAGGCAGTATCTATTGTAGTCGTGTCCTCATTAGTATTCTTTATATAAAGAATACTAACAAGGCAGTAAATCTATTGAATTTGTAGTCGTGTTTGAAGCCGTTTAATAAACTCGCAGGTCGTGTTTTATTAGGTCTAAAGCCACTCGCGCTGCGCGCTCGTGTCTTTAAACCTAATAAAACACTCCTGCTCGTTTATTAAACAGTACTTCAAAAACTCATTAATAATTCATGA